TCCAGCCACATCTCAGGTTTCCGTGCCCATTCCTTTCATGTTGGTGTTCCGCAGTGTTCTGCCCTTGGCTGTCTGCTTTAAAAAATGTTTTACTTTTACTCATTATTGTGATAAGAATATACATATATAAAACATTTGCCAATTCAACAATTTGTATTATTCAGTGACATTTATTACATTCACGTTGTGCAGCCTTTATCACTATCCTTTTCTGAATTATTCCACCACTATTAACATAAACTCAATGCCTTCTACACAGTAAGTCTCCCTCCCCACCCATTCACGCATTCAGTGGTTCAAGTTAGCATTAGAAATTACATTTAGGTGGAGAGCCCTGCCACTAATAAGCTTAGGTTCTATCTATTTGCCTATTTAATATAAGCAAGATCATACAGTATTAATCCTTTTACGACTGACTTATTTCACTTGGCATGTTTTCAGGGTCCATCCATGTTGTGGCATGCTTTAGAACTGCATTTCTCTTTATGGCTGAGTAATATTCCTTGGCCCTCTCCTTTCCATATTCTACAGACTTCCTGGGGCATCTCATTCACTGCCATGGTGTTTTTAATCACCATAACCATAACCTTAAGCTGCTAACTCCCACATTACATTTCCAGCTCCATCGTGTAGCCACCTGTCTGCTAAACATCTCCCAGACACCCCAAACTCAGCATGCCCAGACTTGAATTTATCACCATCCTCATGCCACCCCAAACCTGTTCCTTCACCCGATGCCCATTTGGGAAACAGCACATCCTCCTCCCAGTGGCCCACCCAGAACCTTGGCTCCTCCTTCTCCACATTCAATCAAGTTGTACTGAGTCTACTTCGGAAACACTGCTTGAGTCTGTCCCTTTTGGTCCGTTCTCGGTGCTTCTGCCCTAGACCACCATTATCTCTCAGTTAGATGAGCACAGTGGCCTCCAGTCTTACTTCTTCTAACCCATTCTCTACATTATACTGCAAAAATCATGATTTTTATAAAATGAAAATCCAGTTTTGCCACTTTTCACCTCAAAATCCCTCAGTGGCTCTCTCTCCACTACTCTTGGGATAATGATAAACACACTAACTTAGGAGGCCTCTCATGATCTGGCCTCGAGCTCTTCTCCAGCCTCGCCTTGTGCAGGATCTTCCTGGTACTTTCTTTATCTCGAGTGACTTTAGCCTCCTAAACACACCATGGTCCCTTGTTCAGGGCTTTTGAACATGCACCTCCCTATGCCTGGGATACTCTCCTCTCCCCTCTGGGTAATTCCTACTTGTAACAGGTGGACACTACTTGCTTCCTCCCCTTCAGACTGGGGAACACTAAGTGATGGAGAGACAGTTTAGTCAAGAGGTGACAAGGGAGGGCTCTGTGACCAGAGTGCCCAGCTCTGAATCCTAGCTGTCATCTGCTAGCTGTGAAACTGTGCACAAGGTACCACTTCTCTGTGCTTCTGCTTCCTCACGCAGAAAATGCGGAATAATAATGAGTCCCTATCACAGGCGGCTTTGGGGAGGATTAAATGAATACATATATAGAAAGTGCTTAGAACAGCACCCAGGCACACTGTGAGGGCTCAACCAACGTTTGCCATTACTTTTACGTATCTGCATACCAAACAAAAACAAAAACAAAACAAAACAAAATAAAAAACCAACCAGTTTCTGTGGAGTCGTCTCTGACTCATGGTGATTCTGTGTGTGTTGGAGTAGAACTGTGCTCCACAGGGTTTTCAGTGGCTGATTTTTTGATTTTTTGGAAGTATATCACTAGGCCTTTCTTCCAAGGCACCTCTAGGTGGAGTTGAACCTCCAACTTTTTGGTTAGCAGCTGAATGCATTAACTGTTTTTCAGGCCGGGGACCTCCATAGCGTGGTATAAAACCAAAAAACCAAACCCACTGCCATCGAGTTGATTCTGACTCATAGTGAACCTATAGGACAGAGTAGAACTGCCCCCACAGGGTTTCCAAGGAGCAGCTGGTGGATTCGAACTGCCGACCTTTTGGTTAGCAGACGAACACTTAAGCACTGTATAGTTACCCTTATAAATAAGCACTTACCAGAGAAATATAATTCCCAATTTACTTACCTGTCTACTCTTCTGCATTGTAAGGTCCTTAGAGTTGGGGCAATGTCTTATTACTAGGGCTCCAGTTTCTGGCACACAGTAAGCATTTATCAAATATTTGTTGAATGACTAAATCAATGAATGAATCTTTGCTAAACCAATAAATTAATGAACCTCTCTTCATGGCATTTATCACTTCTCATCTTATGAGTATAAATATTGTCCTCCTTACTTGATAGACCTCAAGCTTACTGAGGGCAGGATCACAAGTATAGCCATCTTGGCATATCCTATCTCCCTCCAACCCAACATTGCTTAGCAACATTTTATTTTTGGTAGACAATGAATTAACACTAGTTGAATTACACTGTTCTGTGAATATGCTTTAGATTCTTCCTGCTTTCCCACCTGCCACATTTCTGATCCACTGCTATGTAACCCACTTGTAACCTACAGACCTTCTTGTATCTGTAGCTCAATTATTATAGTAGGTTAGTTACACAAGAAATGATTAAGGACAGTGGTTAAAGTTAGCATTAGAAATTACATTTAGGTGGGGAGCCCTACCATTTTTTAAAAGAATGGTGACCCCAAGATTTTGTTTCCCCTGATCTCACAAATGCTACTGCAGCCCTGTTGTTGCTGTTGCTAGCTGCCATTGAATCAGCTCCCGATTCATGGTGACCCCATGCACAGCACAACAAAATGAAATCCTGCCCGGCCCTGTGCCATCCCCATGGTAGGTTGCAGATCAAACCTTTTTGATCCATAGGGTTTTCATTGGCTGATTTTCGGGACTAGCTCACCAAGCCTTTCTTCCTAGTCTGTCTTAGCCTGAAGCTCCACTGAAACCCGTTTAGCATCATAGCAACATGCAAGCCTCCACTGACACACAGGTGGTGGCTGCGCTTGAGGTGCCTTGGCTGGGAATCAAACCCGGGTCACCCACACGGAAGGCGAGAATTCTACCACTGAACCACCACTGCCCCAAGCTCTAGGCCTGTAGCCTGGTGGGGAGAACAGCAGGTTGAATTGAAAGGGGAATTAAGTAGGACGTAAGGGATCCAGGTTTTAGTTGAGGCTGGTAACAAATATACGTGGCCTTGAAGTCACAGTCTCTCTGGGACTTATTTATCCCACTGTAAAGTAAGGGAGTGGAAATGATTTCTATGTTTCCCATCAATTCTCACATCTAGGAATGATCTCAGAAAGATTAGAAAAAATAAAAATGGGGAAAAAAATACAGGCGGTATCTTGAGCTCCAGGGCTAGCGACGGTTGCCAATAATCACAGAAGTCATCTGGATAAACTTGGAGAATTACCCAAATCATGCAGACAAGGGCTAAAGATGGGGTGTAATACTGGAGAGAGAATGGGCTTTTGAGTCAGACAGACCTGAATTTAAATCCCACCCTTGCTATTTACTAGCTATGGGCCTGTTACTTAACCTCTTTAATCTTGAGTTTCCTTGGTTGTAAAAAAGAAAATGGGAATTCAACCTATGTTGTTGGTCTAGGGTACAGATTAAATGAAGCAGTTTACCACACCTGACATTTATAGGCCCTCAATAAATGTTAGGTCATTTTCTCTACCTTTATACACTCCTTCAGAGTTGCTGGGTGGTGCAAATGGTTAACATGCTCAGCTGCTAACTGAAAGGTTGGTGGTAAGAATCCACCTAGAACCCAATGCCGTCAAGTTGATACCGACTCATGGAGGTACGTTGAAAGAAAGGCCTGGTGATCTACTTCCAAAAATCAGCCATTGAAAACCCTATGGAGCACAGTTCTACTCTGACACATGCACGGAGTTGCCATGAGTCAGAATTGACTTGACAGCAACTGGTTTGGTTTTGATTATACACTTTCACTAGTTAAAAGTACTTTCTCAGATACCTGTCTGTGCCTGTGAAACTACTTTATTCATCCACTCCTCACCACAAAGTTGGAATGTGGGGAGTGGACATTTCTGCAGGTTAGAATAGTTCCGTAATCTCCTGGTAGGACAGAGTACCTAGGCTGGTGAGATCTTCCCTTCGTCTAATACAGTGCGTCTGATAAGATGCAGCCCTGCACTTCCTGCTGTTCACTGTGGTGTTTGGTAGTTAAGATGACCATCAGCTTGGGGCGGAGCGGGGAGGAGAGTAAGGAGGGGCAGGGCTCAGGTGGGAGATCTGGGGCTTGAAGACTCACTGGCCACGTCATACCTCAAGGGAGTAAGAATTCACAATCCAGAGGGAGTTGCAGTCCAGGACTCTGGCCATTGAGACCCCTCAGCAACCCCAGGGAGCTACAGGGGTGCTTCTTATTTCTAAGAAGTTCTGCTCACATGACAAAGCATAGAAGAATCTCCCTGAGCACACGGCTATTTGGAATGCCATCTGGGGTCATTTGGGCTCTGACCTACACTTCTAAGCAGAGGCAGCCCACCTAGGTTGGGCTTTCTTCCATCCGAGGTCTTGACAATCCATTTTTCTCCAGGCTCCCAGAGACTGACCTGTAGCTAAGTGAGGGAGCTAACCATCAGGTCCTTAAGACAGAGCCAAGGTCACCTGGCTGACGTGTGGCAGAGCTGACCTGATCATGATTCTTGGGTCACCAAATCCAAAACTTTCTCCAAGGTCACCTGGCTAATACAAGAGAAATGTGTGGCTGGAAGCCAGGACTCTTAATTTGTAGAGAAGCTCTCTTCTCGGAATCAGGCTTTTCGTTAGATAGACAGCTGTAAATTCTGAGACACTGTTTTAGGAGTGGGCCAGAAATCAGGGAGATACCCTCCTCTTTGCCAGCATTTATTTGGTCAACGAGCAGTTAATAAAAGATTCAGAACTCCAAGAGACAGGTATCAGTCAAACGAAAGTAATAACAATAGTAGCTACCACCTACTGAACCACATGCTTACAGAGGTAGCATAGCATAGTGGTTAAGTGCACAGCATCTGGATCCAGACCATGTGGGTTTGTAACTTGGCTCCACCACTTACTAGCTGTGTGACTTTGGGCAAATCACCCATCCTCTCTGAGCCTCAGTTTCCTCATCTGTAAAGTTGGGATAATAATAGTATCTATCTTACCGGACTGTTGTAAGGAAGATGTTGATGCGATGCTTCCGAGGCCTTGCTGGAAAAAAGCAAATGAACAGAAAGAACAAGACAGGCAGAAAGAGGAAACTTCTTGGGCCTGCGATCAGCCCAGGACTGCTTGATTTACAAGTGTACATACAGTTTTCATGTCACTGATGCTCCGGGGCCTGGGGAATGTAGACCGCGGTGAAGCTCTGATGAAAGTGGGATTCAGATGGTTTAGGAGGTAAAGCAAGCTCTTTCCTGTTGATGCTAAGCCCTCAAAGATATTTGAGTCCCACCTGGATAAATGTCTGATACATAACTTTCAAAAATAAAATATTATACAAACCAGGGTATCTTCAAAATTGAGCAATGAGTCAAAGTAACAAACACTGTTCTGTCAAAAAGGTCAAATACTTTATTCATCTCTACATACATATATAAAAGCAAGCAACATTAGGTTTTCCTCAGCCATCCTCTCCACATTTTGTGTAGTTTTAATGAACTATAAATCACCGATTTCTTCATGCCTAAGAGAGAGAAGAAGACAGGGTGAGACAATGGAGGCCTACTGAGCGTGCCTACTCGGTGAGCGTCCGGCACATTCTGACCAGAGACCTGTCTTTGTAACGGAACGGCGATCACTGACTAGTGGGGTCTCAGAGACCGTGGCCGCTGAAGTTTACCAAAAGCCACCAGGGATCAATGTGGGGGGAAGATTCTGATTTAGGCACCTACTGAAACTGTGATATGATGCCAAAGGTACTTGGGTTACGGGGATAAGTGAATCTTTTGAGCTACACGTATATTGGCAGCGTTTGAATTTTAAGGAGGAGAAAGGCAGGACCAAGACAAGACTCTGTATGTGACTAGGTCCTCAGCCTGCCACGACGCCTGCCATCACCGCACACTCAGTTCAACGTTCCTGCATCACTGCATATGCTGTTATCTGCCCAGAAGGGATGCTGTGCTCTTCACTTTCCACACAGGAGACTCCAAACCCTTTCAACGTTTCTTCTCTAGGAAGTGCCTTCCTTGACTCCCAGGCTGATTCTGATGCCACTCCTCCGGGCACCCCAGCTTACCTCAATCACAGCACTTCCTACACAGTACAAAGCCTGCCACTTCACCCACCTGCTGTCCCTCCACCTAGACTGTGAGCCCTTGTCCTACTCTTCTCTGTAGCCCACCACCTAGTACAGTACCAGCACATGGCAGGTACTCAGTACATGCCTCTGAAATGACTGAGCAAATGCTGATTCCTCGGATACCTGACCTTCTACTAGCACCCCTCCTGACTTCATCACAAATGCATGATGAAACACGAGAGGCTCTGGGGGCTGATGGGAAAGAAGGAAAGTGGGACAAAATGAATGGAATGTTATCTGTCACATCTAACAGGATCACATTCATGGCCGGCATTAGGGTTTGTCTTCCTTTGCGTTGAGGATGAGATCATTTAGATGGTATCTTAGGGTGTTGTTCAAATATGTAAATAGTGTTTTTCACCATGAGATATAAAAACCCATTGAAACCAAGTCCATTGCCATTGAGTCGATTCCTACACATAGCGACCGTACAGGATAGAGCAGAACTGCCCCATAGGGTTTCCAACGCTGTAAATCTTTATGGAAGCAGACTGGCACATCTTTCTCCCACGAAGCGGCTAGTGGGCTTGAACTGCTGAGTTTTCAGTTAGCAGCTGAGCGCTTAACCACTGCGCTACCAGAGTATAAAATGCACATCCCTGGCCATGCTCTTTGGTAAGCACTGCTGACAAAGTAACAGGATTCGGTCTGGAGACTCCTAGCACTAGGGTTTGAGTGATATCTTGAAAATATCTGGCCCTGTTACCTGTAAGCTGCTGAGTCCACTGAGAACATTTGAAGAGGCTATTGTAGGCAGTAGCAGGTAAAAAGGCAGAGTACCAGTAAAATCATTAATGAATACTTCTAGATACTCCGGCCTGGCTTGTCTACCAGCTGACTCCTTGCAAACTGACACAGCCTAGTCAGGAAACCCAGAACTCCCTCCCCTGCCTTCACTCCTTTTAATTTTCTTCCTGGAGCAACCACTCTGGTAAACCTCACCCACTTGAGCATTGAGACCGGAAACTTATTACGTAAGGTGCTTTTCAAAATTCCAGCCAGAACCAATCAAGAGGCCAAACAGCACACAGGTAGTTGTATACGGTGAGGTTCAATACAGCAACCCCAGGGCACTGAGTCACAGCTGGAGGAAGATGCATCCACCATGGTAATTTCCAGCTCAACTTCAAAAAACTTAGTCACACTCTCCTTGGAGCTTAAACATTTAAGGCAAATACATAAAGTACATGAGTGTCACCAACCAGCCATTTTTCGCTGCTAGTGGAGAGAAACCTCCCTTCACTAAAAACAGTCTCTCCCTTGGATGGCAGCGGGAACCACGTTAGAAAGAGCACTGGAACAGGAGACAAGAGACCTGGATTCTGGTGCCAGCCGGGTCACAGAGTTACAGTATGACCCCCTTTTCTCGGCCTCAATGTCCTCATCTGCAAAGTGACTAGGTTGAACTAGATTAGGGGTCCTCTAATAAGGGGCCCATAAACAGGCTCGGATACCAGTTTGTGAACCTCCTGAAATTGTAGGAAAATCTGATGTATATGTGCACACGTGCACTTCTGGGCAGGCGCTCCAGAGAGTCCATTAGATTCTCGCAGCGATTCAGGACTTGCAAAAGGTTAAGAACCAAGAGATCGGAATGAAGGGTCCCTTATTTTAACATTCTAATTTCAACCAAGGTGGAGAACTTCCGCTACCAGACATGAAGGCCTATTATAAACACAGCAGAATAGCTTCAAGAATCTGAAGTAGGTAAAAATTTATCAAAAGGACACAAAAAGTTGTCCTAAAGAACAAAACTGATAGATTAGGCTAAGTAAAATCAAGAACTTCTTTTCACCAAAAGACACCATTAAGAAGAGTGAAGAGACAACCCTCAGAGTGGGAGAAAATTTTTACATTCCATATGTTGAACAAAGGACTTGTATTAAGACCATATGAAGAATTTAATAAGAAAAAAGCAGATAACTTGATAGAAAAACGAGCAAAAGGACTAGCATAGACACTTCACAAAAAGAGGAAATGCAAATAAGCATGAAAAAGTGCTCAATTAAAATGAAAAAGACATAGTATCAAGTACTGGCCAAGGGGAGTCCCTGGGTGGTACAAATAGTTAACACACTCAGCTGTTAACCAAAAGGTTGGAGCTTCCAGTCTACCCAGAGGTGCCCCGGAAGAAAGGCATGGCGATTACTTCTGAAAAATCCGCCACTGAAAATCCTATGGAGGCAGTTCTACTCTGACACACATTGGGTCACCTATGAGTCAGAGTGGACTCAACAGAAATGTGGTGGTGGTGGTGGACTGGCCAAAGAGTATTGGCCACAGAACTCTGATAGTGGGAGTGGGATTTGGTAACTTGCTAAATTGTTGCTGTTGTTAAGTGCCGTTGAGTCGGTTCCGACTCACAGCAAACCTATGTACAACAGAATGAAACACTGACCTCACAATTATTGCTGTTTGAGCCTGTTGTTTGAGCCACTGTGTCAATCCATCTTGATGAGGGTCTTCCTCTTTTTCACTGACCCTCTACTTTACCAAGCAAGATACTACTTGTTTAGTAGTATCTGCTAAAGCTGACCATTCACATACTTTACAACTCAGTAATTCTACCTCTTTCCTAACAGAAATGCATATATAGATTCACCAAAAGATAGGTACAAAGACATTCGTAGCAGCACTACCTGTAACAATCCCAAATGGGAAACAACCTAAGTATCCATCAACAATAGAATGGATTAATAAACTGTGGTACAGTCAGTCAGTAGAATACTATAGTGGAATGAGAACAGATGAACAGCTGTTACTCAAAACAACACGATGAATCTCATTGATGTTATGAGGAGTGAAAGAAGCTAGACACAGATGAGTATATATGATTCTATCTATGTAAAGTTCAAAAACAGGCAAAACATAACCATGGTGTCAGAAGTCAAGATAGTTGTTATCCTTGGAGGGGGTAGTGACTGGGAGTAGGGTGTTAGGGGGCTTCTGGGTGCTGATACTGGTCTGTATCTTGATTTGGGTACTAGGTCCATGAGTGTATTCACTTTGTGAAACGTCATCAACTTTATGATTCTGTATATACGTTATACTTCAATTAAAATTTTAATTTAAGACAGTCTATTTCCATGGAAATCCTTCCTATTTCCAGAAGATTTACAATCTTTCATTATTCAGTCACACGCTGAACAAGTATTTATTGAGCAACTACATATATGCAAAACACTGAGCTAGTTGCTGGGGATACTGGCATGAACAACAGTATGGTCTCTGCCATCACAGAGCTTACAGTCCACAGAATTCTTCTTGGCCTGCATTAAGCTTACTCTTGGTTTCTGTTTCCTTTCTACAGAAAAGTATAGAGATTTAGAAATTCTGTACACCTTAGAACCCATTTAGAATGTGTCTTTGAGGGAAGACAGGCTACTAAGAGAATGACTTTACTCTGACTGTGTCTCACCATCATTGTCTCTGCTCCTCTTTAGAGAGATCCTTATTTACCTAAAGCTAGGGTCGCTGTGAGTTGGAACTGACTCGAGGGCACCTAACAACAACAGTCATTAGGAACTCTGATTAGGATCTAAAGTCCAGATTTTTATTTGGAAGCACACAGAAATGGACTTCAACACATGGCTCCTAAGGCTTTTCTTTTGTTTATGGTCAATTGCCAGCTTCTTTCACATGGCCTACAGCAAAATGCATACATGCATGAGACCCTGAATTTCCTGTGTGACCTTACACTGATGGATCCAGTGACAGACAAAATTCTTCAGGAAAGAATGTGAGGCAGAGCTATGACTAGGCTGTGACGGGTCTCTATCTTCCCATCATTCTCTATTTCAGATATTTGGGAGAGAAAATTAGTAAGCCTCAATGTAATTCTTCCAATTAACTTTCAATCATAGTTAGACATATTTACAAAGAAATTCTCTTCTGAGCCAGGAGTACAACTTAAGAACTTTCAGGCTTATGTAATAAGCACATCTCCAGAGAAACCTTTACTATTATCATGTGTTATTTTTCTTTAAATACCAAGGTATCAGAAAATAGAAAAATAGTTTTAGTTATAAGAAACCAGAACAGAGAATAATGAAAGATCCATTCTATTGTGTTTCTGGAAAGGACTGGTAAAGCTCAATTGAGGCATGCCAGCATCTTTTTAGGAACAAGACTAGACCTGTCTTGCTTAATTCAGTTGACTCTTTTGAAGCTGGAGAAGTAGTAAATAGGCTAACTCTGATTGACCAGAAAGTTAGGTGAGGAAATACAAAGCAAGGTTTCAAAATTAATCTCATCTCCCTCTCCAAACTCCCTCACCTCAGGGAAGGGGACCACCATTCACTGCTTCCCAAGCCAGAAACCCAGGGAGTTATCCTTGACTCCTCCCCTTTTCCTCACACCCCATATCCTTTCAATCAACAAGA